CGCAGAAAAAGGGGGAGCAGCATGAGCAACCATGCAACCTGCAGGTCACCCAGGGCAGCAACCGGTCGTGCGCTTTGCCCACAGCTGGCAACGGACAGGACTTCGTGCATACGGGGCGGGTGTCCGAGCCGGGCCGTGCGGACCCGGACCGGGTGACTGGGCTGACGATCGTGGTATCGATCCCGAGCTGGGCACCACCTTGATGCGGCGTGGGTCGCTGACAGGCACATCCATGTCCATGTCAGCGATTCGAAGGTTCCGCGCTACCCGCGCCCCGGCCTGGCGACACACGCGAGCAACCGCATGCTCGTCCGCGGCATGAGCATATACGCGAAGCATGCGGAGCGCAAGGCAGGGGGAGCCGGAGGCGTCGGAGCGGCCGGATGCGGACGTGCGCCGATGGCACGACGACTGGTGGAGACGTGCAGGGCGCCTTCGGGCCGCATAAGGGCTTGCTTGCGAGAGCAGCAGCGCACGAGACGCGGGATCGAGATAAGAAAGCTGCGTCTCGAAGGCGTGCTCATCACAAACGGCAGCGGCAGCACGTTGCTACCCACGCAAAGTTCCTTCTGCGGCCTGAGCATGCTGTGGCGCCGGTGCGGCAGAGTGGCGTGGGGAAGCCTGGCAAACTCCGGGTGACCCCGGCGGCAGCTGAGCACGCCGCTGCAAGGGCAGGCGGCATGCCAGCATGCAGAGAGTTCAAGCCAGGAGCTGCTCGGCTTCGATGCGCACCAAACGATCGGCTGCCACGGCGCCCGGGCTCGAATGGTCGGCAAGCAGTCCGCCCCGGAGGCCCGGTAGGCGGCGGGAGCGGCGTCGACGGCCGAGCGCACCCCCAGGCCCCGAAACCGCAAAGGGAGGTGCACGAGGCGCTGCGTGGGCTGAGGCAGCGCCAGCGTGGGCAAGGAGTCCTGCGACAACAGGGTCGCTAGGCATGCCCACACCGCAGCGTCGTGCTCGCGCGCAAAAGCCTCAGTCGCACCAGGCTGGAGCATCCGAAGCTTTGGCAAGCGAGTGTTACAAAATCACTGGCTGTGTTGACTGTTTGCCCCCCATCACAAATTAGCAAAAATCATCGCGTGATTCATTCCACATATATTTGTTCATAGCTGCTGTTTCCCAGTTGGCCCAGCGTTGGAAGCGAACGAAATCTCCAGACAAGTGATCCACATGCTGCAGCGTCTACCAGGTGTTAGGCCGCCCCACCGGCTGCCACTTCAAAGCACGTCTAACCCATCTTGCATCAGGCAAGTTGGCGATGTGTCTCGCAAAATTCCAATAGGAATGCAAACAAAGTTGTCCGACGACACCGATGCCCTGGAGGACGCGCTGTGGCGCCATGCGCGAGTACGCTTGAATCGAGGCAAGACCCGCGTATGGAATGCTGCCGGTGAAGAGCCTGTCGGCCTGGCCCGTCTCCAGCCGGTTGGTGCCGAGCCAGTCTGGACGGGTGCCTGGTCCTTGCCGGCAGACCAGCAAGGCTTACTGGCGCTGGGAGCGCCGCTCGGCAGCGAAACTTTTGTGCGACTGGAAGTGCGCCGCAAATGGGAGACCCAGGACCAACTGCTTGCCCGCCTGCCCGCCGTTGGGGACCTGCAGTGCGCGTGGCTTCTCCTGCTCTTCTGCGCCTCCCCGTGTGCAAACTACTTGACGTCATGAGCTCGGACATCATTGCTGTACAAACGCGAGGAAAGCAGCAAAATGGTTCTCCCAATTGGTGTCGTTTTTTGCATGGTCCATCCACCTTCCCCCACCCCATAGTTCGCGCGAATGCGTTCATGTGAGTGTGTATGTGTGGATGTGCATATGTGTGTATGTGTGTGTAGAGTCAGGCCTGAAAGCCTGTACATGTGTGTATGATTGTATGTGTGTATGTGTGTATGTGTGTATGTGTGTATGTGTGTATGTGTGTATGTGTGTCTGTGTGTCTGTGTGTATGTGTATGCGTGTATGTGTGTATGTGTGTATGTGTGTATGTGTGTATGTGTATGTGTGTATGTGTGTATGTGTGTATGTGTGACGTGTGTGACGTGTGTGACGTGTGTGACGTGTGTGACGTGTGTGACGTGTGTGACGTGTGTGACGTGTGTGACGTGTGTGACGTGTGTGACGTGTGTGACGTGTGTGACGTGTGTGACGTGTGTGACGTGTGTGACGTGTATATGTGTATGTGTGTCTGCACGTATGAGTGTATGCGTGTATGTGTGTATGTGTGTATGTGTGTATGTGTGTATGTGTGTATGTGTGTATGTGTATGTGTGTATGTGTGTATGCGTGCATGTGTTGTATATGTGTGTGACGCAACTGCCACATGTGCGATGTGACCTGAGCCATGAACACTTCGGACAGTGACTCCGAATCGTTCACCCAGCGGTGCCTGGTGCCAACGATAGACCCGTCACGCAGCTTGGCCGATCTGCCCGGGCGCAGCGACTTGCTCTCCGTCACAAGGGGGGCTTGGTTTGCGCGGCTGCAGTGTAGTGGGCGTCATGTGGCGGCCCCTTGCGGGCAATTGCCGCCTCCCGTGCCGTTGAAGGTGGTTCCGAAGAGCTGCGGGCAGGCCGGTCAGCTGGCAGCCCTGGCCCTCCGGTTGATCTGTCTTCAGATAGGTCAGGTTCCACCAGTGCTGGGCTGGGCACTAATTTGACCAACAGCCCACATTCCGAAAAACAGTCACGGCCGAATTCTCGAGTGGCCGTTGGCAGAGATGACCCCTGGTAGCACAATGCACGGGGCATCTGCGTGTCAGGCAAGTCCGCAGCCAAACTTGAACAGGTGACGACGTGCCGCGTTAAAGAACTGCATCGTTGAGGCGTCCACTTGCAACAACTCATATTATATTCCTCTGCAAGGCAAAGCCGACCACAAGTCCTTGCACGAAACAACTCGGATGCACCCGAAAACCAAGGAATCGCGTTTACCCATGCTGGTGCGCGGTCGTACAGTTTTCTGTGTTTTTGGCATCGCGCACTACACTCATGCATATGATTTCGTCGTGTGGCTTGAGCCCGGGGCGAACGAGGCTCACGCCCGGCCTATGGCCACCCTGCCAGATGCGCAATGGGCCACCGTCAGCCACGGAGGGAGGCCTGGGTCGGATTGCCTCGGCTACTGCGCGCCAGGGCAGGCGCTGCCCGTCACCCAGAGTCATCAGCATGTGTCAGCGCCAGCAAGCCTCCGAGACAAGGTGCAACCGAGGCCCTTGCCTCCAGCTTCCACACATCGCGGATTTCTTTCACGAGCTATGCAAATATTTTCAGATGCACGCAGGAAGTCCAACAGAAGACAAGGCTGGCCAAGGGCAGGGTCTAATTGAGTGAAGAAGGCTGGCTGCGTCTCCGGTCGAAGGAGCCCGTCATTTCAGTCTTTGTTCAAAAAACCGCTGGAAGCCTTAAGATTCAATAGAACGACCAACTTCATGCAGTCAATGCCGGACTTGAGTTGGTGCCTGCTGCCACTGGATCCTGCCCCGCAAAGATGCGGGCCGAACTTGGGCTGTGGTGATCTGAGGCGGCGCAGCTGGGAAGCGAGCCAAAGATCGTTGTTATCGGAGGCGAGCGGGACTCATGGCGGTCAATGGCGGTCATGTCTGTCAGGCGTCGGGTTCGCTGCGATCAAGGACTGCACAACAGCGGGGGGCCAGCAAGTGCCCGGCAATGCGCGAGCAATCGGAGGGTGGATGAGGTCAGCTTCAGAACAATTTGATCGTCGGCCTCCGAAATCGATCGCCATGACGATTAAGGCGGCTGCGGGGCGCGCTCGCACTCGGGGCAGGTGCGTTCCTTTGCTTGGCGGGCGAGGCAAAGAGCAGCGTCGCGAGACTGCCGCCAGACTCGGACGTGTCGGCGGGCCGGCCGGTGCTGTTCGAGTTTCGAGTGATCGGAGAAGAGAGTGGTCGACTGAGGGCTGCGAGCCCGCCCTTGGCGATCGCTTCCATGCGCCTGTCAGCACGGCAAACGCGTGCTGCAGCCTGCTCCAATGGTGCGCCCCGAGACTACAGGTGGACATTGGAGGAACGTATCATTCCAGACGGAAGCCTTATACTGAGTATCTGTGGCCAGCCCTCGCAGCGGCTTGCCAGCTGCTAGCAGCTACGTCACGGACGAATTGTTTTTTGCCACAACACAAAAGCGACTCCCGAAATGCCGAGGCCAATGAAGAAGGGAACAACACGGCCCGAGAGTCTTCGGCACCTTGCCCCTCAAAGAGCTGACAGCGCTTTGCCCTAAATCGCTCAAAAAATGCAGGCCATGTCGTTGGCACTGGCAGCAGAAAAAGATCCAGGCCGTGTACTTAGACCTTGCAGAACTGCTGCAGCATGACCCGAGCAGACTGCAACTTGAAACTTCCACCGGGGGAGACCGGCACTTGTTTTTACCGAAACAACGCTCACCTCACTTCATCTGCACTGGGCGTCGCATCTCGAGACCAACTTCCCTCGTCATTATGCCACACTGTCATGCGGGAAACAAGTTTAGGTTTTGGGATTAGGGGAGAAGAAATAACCGGCTCTTTTCGTCGGAGAAGAGCATTTTTGAGCCAAGCCAAACATGCCGCACAACTGGTCCTCAGTCACCTCGAAGACGTTTGCAAAGCCCAAGAAGATGCGACAAAGTCCAATCATTGATAATCTGGGTCTACAAAGTCATGAATGTTCTGAGTTGCTGTGGATCTGGGTACGGCACACAGCACTTACCACTCCAATCACCTTTTGAAGTGGTTGCGGTCTTAGGGCTTAAGGGCCAAGGCAGTCCGAAGCAGATGCCCAGAAGGCTGCACAGCGCCCCATGTTTTGAGGGCAAAGGTCCCAATGGTCTCAACGGCTGTCTGTGGGCCATGCTCTGCAAGGCACCCACAGCTGAAAACTCAGCCAAATTTGTGCCGAAGGAGTTTCCCTCAATGGCGGCTCCGCAAGCGAAAGCCGAAAAGGTCTCTTCTTGTTGAACCCACTTCGGACATTCGAAGGCTGAGCAGCGAAAACGGCTGAGTTCTCAGCAGGATCAACTCAAGTCGGAATCTTCAGATGAGCACTCGCTCACACTTTTGAATCTCGACCTTGCAACATGAAAAGTAGCCAGGACTTAACTGTCAACCTGTGGGGGGTTCCAAAAGTAGGGGTACCCTTTTCGGGGTTCCGTTAAAGGATTATATAGCATTCTGGGGTACCCTATTCTCGGAAATCCCCCCTGTCCGCGTCCCAAACGTCGGAGTGGCCGCCGAGGCACGTTTGCTTCGATGATGACGCTTTCAAGAATTTGAACTTTTGCAGCTGAATGCACAACTTGCCTTGGTGGCCCAGTAGCCATATCATAAATAAGGGAACCCTTTCTGGGGGCTGGTGACTGTATACGGGAACCCTGGGCTACCAAGAGCCTACACCAAGGCCCTAACCCTACACCCTAAACCCTACACGCCCTAAACCCTAAACCCTAAACCCTACACCCTCAACCCTAAACCCTAAACCCTCAACCCTAAACCCTAAACCCTAAACCTGCCGCCAAGTTGCTGCACGTCCCCGAAGGCGTGTCGTCACCCGGTAGGCGAAAGGCAGAGACCTGGACGTGCCGTGCTACGAGGCGCCTCTTGGAGTCATCCTGCAGTCTTAACCTCAGGAGCTGCCAAGCATTTAGGGGGTTTAGGGTTTAGGGTTTGGGGTTTAGGGTTTAGGGTTTAGGGTTTCGGGCTTGGGGTTTCGGGCTTGGGGTTTAGGGTTTAGGGCTTAGGGTTTCGGGCTTGGGGTTTAGGGTTTCGGGTTTGGGGTTTAGGGTTTAGGGTTCAGGGTTTAGGGTTTAGGGTTTAGGGTTTAGGGTTTAGGGTGCTGCAACACAAAGTTTACTGACCCTTGGGCTCTTTGGGGGCAAGGGGGGCCCCAAACCACTGTTGGAAGGGAGTCCTCGAACCGTTTAATCGAACAATCCAAATCAGAGGCTTTCTTCTGCTTCTTCTTCTTTTTCTTCTTTTTCTTCTTCTTCTTCTTCTTCGTCTTCTTCTTCGTCTTCTTCCTTCTTCTGCACGCTGTTCTCTCTCTCCCTCTCTCTGTCACACTTCTTCCTCTCCTTCAGCTGGGCAGCTTCATTTGAAGATTGTCCTGACTTCGTGCCGACTGGGCAAAGTTCACGAGCCGGTCATGGACGGTGCCCCAGTCCTGGTAAGTCAGGCTGCATCGCCATGCCAAGAAGAACAAGTACAAAGTCCAGAGTCACAAACCAGAGTTGCTGAAGATCTAGACAAAAACTCGCGGAAAAAAAAAGCCACATCTCTTAACCAAGAGAATGGAGAACCCCAAGCCCACCAGTGGCTCACGCATGGGCCAACTTGTCTCCACCACACGTCCCCTGATATGGGAGTCCAAGAATCCGTGGGCTGAATGAGGCGGCGCAAGCTCGGCATGGAGCTGTCGTCACTGTCCGACCGCCGCGCGAAGCTCAGGTGTGCTTGGTCCACGTCCAGCAGGGGCGTGGTTGCATCCACCTGGAGGCCCCCCACGCCAGGCTTTCGGGCCCCCCACGAAAGCTAGACAAGACGTTCCATTGGCCAACTGTGGGGGGGTGGGGGAGGGCGAGGGGGTCCCTGAGCGTACTCTGTAGCTTTAGAGCTATTGATCAACCTCGTGGCCCTCTCTGACCCAAAAAAGAGAAATTGCAAAGCGACGCAAAGCTCCCTTAAGGCTAGCTGCCGTGACTTGTTGTTTGTGCGAACATGCAGAACATTGGAGCGATGGCATGCCATCCCAGTCGGTGTAGGCATGATGCTCTTTCGGGCAACCCTGTGATTGACAGATGTGTGTGAGTGCCACTGCACTGGGCTGCCGACGAGCAAGGTCATCTCCTTCACCTCCCTGCAAATCTGCAGCACGGAGTTTGAAGACACCTGTGGGGGGGGGGGGGGGGCCCTGCTTGAAAAACTCTCCTTCAGAGGCTTGTCATGATTATCGTGTCTACCATGCTTATCCAGACGATCATGGCTGTCACGGTTGTCCTGGCCGTCATCATGCTTATCATGGTTATCATGATCATCTCAATGACCATCTTTATCAGCCGTGATCCATATGAAACGACTATCATGCGAGCACTAGTGATACCATGAACATACTTAGATTATTAACACTACTACTTAATATCCATAAGATCACAGATCATTCACACCTTTCATATCATTCATATCATTCATATCATTCATGTCATTCATATCATTCATATCATTCATATCATTCATATCATTCATATCATTCATATCATTCATATCATTCATATCATTCATATCATTCATATCATTCATATCATTCATATCATTCATATCATTCATGTCATTCATATCATTCAGATCAATCATATCAACCCTATCATATCACTATACCATTCACATCATACAATGATCATCATGGTTACCACTTGATTTGCCTCATCGCTACTAGTACTACACCCATAATTGCTATTATTCCCTGTATTCTCATGACTAGCAAGGCTATCCACATTGATATCATTTCGATTGTGACTGAGATGTGCCTAGCGCTTTAGTTCCTACTGCGCATACATAGGCAACAATATAGGGGCTTCCGAAACTAGGGGAAAACCTTGTTCGGGTCCTTATGATAAGGGAGTCCTACTATTTGGGGGTCTATACTAGGGCTCCCTGATGTTCGCAAACCCCCATATAGCAGCTGTTCGGTATCAGCATCCTATGGTTGACTGGTCAGCCTGCGAGACAGAGCCGTCGGTCTGGTTCACACTCCTCACAGACATCAAAAAAAAACTATAAGACTTGGCATTTCTTGGGATGTTCCCCCTCTTACTAACAGTCCTCAATAGGGATTAAACAGGGGGTACTATAATCCTTATTAAGGACTGTTAATAGAAGGGGGAACATCCCGGGCATTTCCTAAAACTTGGGAACCCCAAAATCGGTGCCCCGAAGCAATGCAACTCCCCCACATCTGCTGCCCCTGTAGGTTGCGGATAGCCACATGCGTGGCCGCATGAGCTGAACAACATCAAAACGATGCACGCCAGCAGCTGCAAAGAAACGAGCAGAAGCCAAATTTGGGGGGGATTCCGAAAATAGGGGTGCCCTTGTTGGGGGTGTCCTATAATGAGGATTATAGTACTTTGGGAGCATATTTGGGGTACCCCTATCATGGGAAACCTCCAAATCAGCGTGTGGGGGTCGATCTGAATCATGGGCGGATACGTTGGTACCCCAAACAAAAAGGAAAAGCGCAACAGAGGCCCACAATATGCTATCAAGCCCCATGTGTAGCAGGGTATTGCCCTGGTGCCGCCTCGGCGTCCTCAATGATCTCCTGTCACTGGAGGCTGTGTGGGCAGGAGTCACATCTTCATCAGCCCCAACGACCTCGGCAAAACAGTCTGCGACTGCAACTTTTTGGAAGTGGCGCCTAATCACGTGACTTCGACTGCAAACCTTCAAGCCCGAAATTTTCAAGGGCCTTCAACCCTAAACCCCCTAACCCTAAACCCTAAACCCTGAGCCCTAAACCCTAGACCCTACACCCTAAACCCTTTTTGCCCTGAACCCTGGCCCGAACCCTCAACCCTAAACACCCTAAACCCTGAGGCCCTACGCCCTAAACCGTCGGAGCAGTGCAACCCCAAAAAGGACTACCCTCAACCCCAAACCAACAGTCGGAGCAGTGCAACCCCAACTAAGTGTACCCTCAACCCCAAACAAACACTCGGAGAAAAGTCGGAGCAGGGCAAACCCAAATCCTGAACCATGAACCCTGAAGAGGACAATCAACCCAAGGCCACTTTCCGGGTACAATGGACCAAAGTGGCCAAAGCCTTTTGGGTTTCAACCAAACCACAACTACAGAAAATCACGCCCGTGCTGTGAGAGCACTGTTTCGAGCCTGAAATGTTTGAGCCAACACACAAAAAAAAACACGCGACTTCAAAGTTCAAGATGGGTGATGGGCAACTTGCGCCCGCAATTTTCAAGCAAAAAGGGAGTCCCAAACTTACAAAACGTTGACCCCCCTGGAAAAAAGGAAGAAAAACCGATCAAGCTTCGAAGCGAAAAATGCATTTTTCGAAAAACGAAGAACGCTCCAGTGTTTTCGACACTTCCAACAGCTGCTCTTCCGTGCAGAATGTGTTTTTTCTCGAGTTTTGCACCCGCGATGCAAAAAACTCCAAAGACAAAATGTGTCCAAACGCATGGCCCCGTACCAGCGCCGACGCCATGTTACTGACTCAGCATGCAGCATTTCAGGATATGCTAGGACACAGGTCCACAAACAGCCACCAGAATTCCAGGACCTGCCAGGAAACATATCGTCTGCAGTGCCCCGTAGACGTACAGTGTATCTTTGAGACTGCGAATATTTGCGGACCGTCGCGGAAAGTCGCAAAAGAGGTCGTCAACTACGGCGAGTAGATATGTGATCCATTCAACCATCTCAACCGAAGTACCTCGAGAAGGGATCTGGAGTCGGAATCTTCTCGGAGCGCGATCAGATGATACGTTTCCTTGGCTGACTTCTGAACCCCTCCTAAAAGCTTATCATTTAGGCTCCTTCTTGTAGTCGCCACAAGCCCAAAAGGTTAAAGTCCTAAGAGCCAGCCAGAAGAAATCCCTAAACCCTTAACCCAAAACCCAAACCCCAAACCCTAAACCCTGAACCCTAACCAAGTTTCTTCATCCAACATATGCGGCACGTGAAAGAGGTCGACCCCGATGGGAGGAAGCTCAGAAACCGATCCCGTTGAACTCTTCCTGGGCGGGCGTTTCCTGGGCACGGCTCTGCATGAACCATTGAGGCTTAGGGTTTAGGGTTTAGGGTTTAGGGCTTAGGGTTTGGGGTGTAGGGTTTACGGTTCAGGGTTTAGGGTCTATAATCAGTGCTTCTGTGGGTACGGGTGTAGGGTTTGGACGCAGAAGATACTGTAGAGACCCAGAAAGGACCCATACCCCAAATGCAAATCGCAAACCCTCACATACACGACCATAAGGGGAAGGTGTCACTTCTTCATAGTATTGTCCCTCTTATAGCTTACTCTATGAAAACAGTAGCGTCTTAACCATGGACGGTACGGTCAAAGCATAACGCATGCGGCATGTTCAGAACAGCCATACTGGGCATTACCTAGAGCTTTGCGTCGCCGCTTGCGGCTGGGGTAGGGCTCAATCTGCTTGCTCTATTGGGGTTTAAGTTTTAGGGTTTAGCATGTCGTCACAAGAACGGCAACAGCATGCTCGCTGGGTTTAGGGTTTAGGGTTTAGGGTTTAGGGTTTAGAGTTTAGGGTTTAGGGTTTAGGGCTTAGGGCTTAGGGCTTAGGGTTTACGATTGGCAGGGCCAGGACATTACTAGTTTAGAAGGGGTTCGAGCAATTCCCTTGCTCATTTGCCTAAATCGACGAAGGATTTGCCTAAAACGATGAATTTACAAAGCTTTAAATAAATAAATAAATAAATAAATAAATAAATAGATAAATAAATAAATATACTACATATATATATATATATGAAGAGGGGTTTAGTGATTAGGGTTTGGGTTGAGGGTTTAGGGTTTAAGCTGCATCTAAGCTGCAAAGACACTCTCAAGCATGGAGGCGCACTGAGGCCAGGCGCGTTGGAGTGCTCGGACATTATGAAGCCTTACTTGGAGGTTCATGGTACTTATTCACCGATGATAACTGTACTTATAACCCACTGGTTTAAGGGTTTAAGGTTTCGGGTTTAGGGTTTAGGGTTTAGGGGTACATATTAACCAATCATAACTGTACTTAACCCACTTATAGGCCACTTAAGTGCCCTCATGTGGCTATAAGTACAGTTATAAGGACAATTTAAATTGGTTCATAAGTACATGTGACACAGTACGAAAGCTTGCTACAGGGTTCCTAGGGGATTGTGTCTCAAGGGGGGGTGGGGAGTACTAGGGGAACCTTAATGAAACTTAGGGAGCCTTAAGGAGTAGCGGGGAGTACTAGGGAACCCTAAACCCTAAACCCTAAACCCTAAACCCTAAACCCTAAACCTTGGGTTATAGACCTTCCTTGAACCCCTCCCTCCCTTAAGAACCCTGTAAGCTTGTGGTGGCGACTTTGGAAGACCATCTGTAACATGGCACCACTTGTTAACCCTAAACCCTAAACACTAAACCCTTTCTGGATCTGAAGTCTGCTGAACGGGGAGAACCGTCCTGGGACCTTCCTCGAGGAACGAGCAACAAGGTCTTAAAGCTTAGGGTATCTATTGAGCTGTTCCCCCTTAAACTAACAGTGCTTGATCGGGATTATAGTGAGAGTACTAAAACCCTAGGGTGTGTAGGGCTTCGGGTTAAGTGGGCAGAATTCATCAGAGCGACTACGAAAGCGCTCGCGCTCGTCCTCCGCCAGCAAGTCCTCAAAGTTCTCGTAAAAGCCAGGGTCTGTTGTCATAAGCAAGGTCCTGAGTGACAAAGTCGGGGGGGTTTAGTGGGTTGAGGGTCGAGAGTTTGGCAACGATTCGTTGGGATGTTCCCCCTTTCTTCTAACTTAACCATCCTGAAATCGGGAATGTGGTACCCCTACTAGGATCCCTATCAAGGACTGTTCGTAGAAGGGGTGCACATCCCAAAAAGGCAGAGGATGATCCCAGCACTCGCCATGGGAGCCGAGCGTCTGCAAGCAACCAGCTTCTCCAGAGACTCGCAGCTTGCTGTCCAGCACAACTTCACCATCGCACACCCCGCGCAGCACCCTAGGTGGTGGTGTTCAGCCGACAAGGAATCTGCACAGAAAGCGTGTTTCCAGCTGCGATGAACGGCTATAGCGATGGCCCGAAAAAGATGCCTCCCTAAACCCTAAACCGGCCCTAAACCCTAAACCCTAAACCCTAAACCCTAAACCGTCAAAGTGCGAGAGAGACTCCTGCGGAAGCTGAGAACCATGGACTCCGAATTCGCCAGCAGCGCATTCCGGGAGCGATTGTGAAACTCCATCAAGCCCGCCAGGACCAAAATGAAAGCCAAGACCTGGCAGGAAGCTCCAAGGGGGGGCTTCCAGGAGTTTAGGGTTTAGGGTTTAGGGTTTAGGGTTTAGGGCGATGGGTGATGGAAGCAACCAGCTGGGAAAAGCCCACTGCGCGTTGCACGTTGCAACTGCCCTTGTACTTGCCATGACTAACTCCCCTCTATCCCTGAGATTAAGCCCCCTAATATTAAATGCCCCCAATTATCGCTATGTTATAGTATATTGGGGGTGGTTAATCTTAGGGGGTAGGGGGGGAGGTTTAATACTAGGTGACCTCTATACACAACAGACAGCCTCGCGATGGACAGCCAAGACACGGTAAGCTGATGAAGGCAGGAGATGTGCACAGACGCGGGGTCGCGCTGCCAGTCATTCCACGTCTCCAGCAGGCTGAGCAAGGACTGGGCGGGAACCCCGATTTGAAAATTCACGAAAAAGGTGGCCACCGCAAAACGAACGGAGATGGTCACGCTGGAGAGGATCAGCGCATTCTGGCAATTCCCGGGGCTGGCGTGGAGGCCCTGGACCCAAAGGCCGACCATGACGTACATCACCTGAAAGGCCGTCTTTTGGTTTTTTGTGTGTGGGTTTTGGGTTTTTTTGTTGACTTTTGGTGTCTTGTGTGTTTTGGGTGTTTTGTTGAGGGGTTGTTTTGTTGTAGTTTAAGTTCGTTATGAGGGGATTCATGAAGGTTTAAGGTTGGGGTTTTGTTAGGGCTGAGTTTTGGGTTTGTTGGGGTTTTGGGGGTGTATTTGGGGTCTTCGAGTCCGGTTAGGGCTAGGGCACACTTGTGTCCACAGAGTCCACATCCCAGATCGGTTCCAAAAAAAATCGGTTTAGAGTTTAGGGTTTAGGGTTTAGGGTTTAAGGTTTAGGGTTTGGGGTTTAGGGTTTAGGGCTTAGGGTTTAGGGACCCTTTCTGCTCAAGCTCGGTTGCAAGAACAAAAAGCCTGCATCTCGCTCGATTCAATTGCAAAGTGCCAGAACTGATAATCAGATGCATCAGCCAGGCAGACATTGAAATCACCAAAGGCCAGCGCGAGTGCGCGTTGCCGTTCCACTGCAAGTGCAGAATTTGACCAAACGTACAGATCGCTGCGATGTGCATGCAAGCCCTCGAGGAGGAACGATACTGTTTGATACGCGCATCCCAGAGGGCGCGGTCCAGGCGCTCGTTGGACTTGTGTCCATCCAGCCCGTCCCACACAGCCGCGACCACTCGACGCAGAATCAAAGCAATTTCCTGAGATACACTTGCCAAGGTTGCGTAAGCCTCTATGTGTTCAAGGTTGGGTCACTGACCGTGCACCCTACGCATGAACATTCACAACGGACCACTCCCTGCCCTGGGAAACTTAGCAGCCACGTGCTAGAGTTCTAATCCAAATCAAACGGGCAAACTTGCCATGAAATTGAAAGCCCACAATATTAGTACAAGTCCCGGGGAGATTCAGGAAGGTCAGATAGGCGGCTGCACACTTCTCCCTTTAGTACCATTCCAACCTCTATGACCTCAAAGACTCATGATGGTGCAGTTTCCTGGTGCTGGAGGTAATAATGCTAAAGGACGAGGTGAACCAGATATGAGAGTTAGGGTCTCAAGGGCGCATTCATGGGCAAGAAACGGTCCTAAAGGTGGATTAACTCCTAGAGACAGAGGTTATGACTGGAGAAAAAGCCCCATTCTTGGTTATGTTGTTCACTCTGGGGCTGATGATGAAGCCTGAAGGTACATTGAGGGGGGCAGATCAATACGTGCACTCGTTTTTGTCAGTACTGCTCCAAAAACCCAAGTAGATTTTCCAACTAACAAGCACTCGTCAAAGCAAAAGTTTGCTGAGCAGTTGGCAGCAGTCATAGCCAAATACGCAGCAATGAGACGCGAGTAGTGCAGCCCCTGTGGTTGTCAGCACACCAGAAAAATCCATGATCGAATCATGGGGCGAGTTGCTTGAGCCAAAAAAAGACCACGACGCAGAAAATTGTATCTTGAAAAAACATTGTCATCGCCTCAACATGAACAAACGTAAAAACAAGAACAACAATCAAAAACAACAAAAACTTAGAACAACAACCGTAGTTGTTGTAACCATAGTACCAACCAATGATGTCCACCACTGTGCACGTTGAAAATCTGTGTATATTGTGTCCTTTTTGAAAACCGGGCAAAATCAGTGAACTTGTGACAATTAACCTGTACATAAAACCAACGACATGAATGCCCTACAATGCTCTACATGAGCATGCATGCAATGTGCACACGGGTGAGAACTAAATGTTGGCAAGCTCAACAAACACCCACAGATCTCCGGAGTGGCCAATTTCATACCCATCATGCCACTGCTCGCCGGCAGCAGCTGAGGCTTGCTGGGCGGCCCTTGCGCAAGCCCACACGAACCACGTCGAACTGTTGGGCTCTTCTGAACCCCGTCCCCTTCGAGGCGCAAATGCGGAACTGGGCACATGAAGGACTTCACAGCCTCATAAATGAGCGGTGGATGTGTCAGCTCATGTTCGCACCCTCCTCATCGGGAGATATAGCAACTGGCACTTGTTCGTGTGAAAGGAACAGCACGACAGGTGCATCAGGGCTGTTTGCAAGGGCGCGGTGAAGTCAGGACGATGTAAAGGGCCTCAACCCTAAACCTTAAACCCAAAACCTAAACCCTCAACCCTAAACCCTGAACCCTAAACCCAATTCGTTTTAACACCCTTGCCATCCTCCCGCATTCCCAGGCACCCAACGACCCAACGGTACACACGTTTCACGAAAGGCCTTTAAGTACACGAACACGAACAAGTATGATTGGCTTTGCATTCCCTCGTTCCCTACTAAGAACCAGGTGGGTAAAGCCATGAACATGAGACCCTGGTACCAAAAAAAGGAAGCATGTCATGGTTTCTGCAGGTCAGACACATGGCTGTGGACTTTCATAATACAGGGGTTTTGTGCAGCAATTAAGCATTGACCTCGGTGAATAAGGTTGAAATGCTCCCCGAAGCCAAGTTCATGGCCAAGGCACCCTCGGGAAGATTTCCTGTTTTGAAAACACACAGGCTAACCCTCCATTGATTATGAGGTATGCCAAAAATCGGCGATTTCTGTCCAAAAATCTGCAAATTAAGGCACAAATCGGAAAACTAGGCGAGACTGGGAGACTTACTGGGAGACTGCTGAAACTCAGATCACACAAACGCACGGCCCTGTTTGGATACCGCGTTGCCACACAGGCTGCCCCGTCTGGCTAGCAACAAGACCCATTGGTCTTGAATCCCATGGCCCACGAATTCGACGAAGGCCCGACACAAGACGCTGAGCTCTGATGATAGATGAGCCACCCTCCCCGCCGCACAAAGACCTTAATTCCCACAGGAAAAGCTGAATTACCGAGGGGGGTCGGTCATCAAGCTTTTTCAGGCGGCCCCCGCCGCACAAAAACCTTAACTACTCCACAAAAAGCTTAATTACCGAGGGGGGGTCGGTAGTTCAGCATTTTCGGGCGGCCCCCTCCGCACAAAAACCTTAATTACTGCACCAACAGCTTAATTGCCGAGGGGGGTCGGTAATGAAGCTTTTTCGGGCGGCCCCCGCCGCACAAAACCTTATTTACCGCAGAAAAAGCTTAATTACCGAGGGGGGTCGGTAATTAAGCATGTAGAAAAAGCTTAATTACCGAGGGGGGTCGGTAATTAAGCTTTTTCAGGTGGCCCCGCCGCCCTTAATCACCGCAGAAAAAGCTTAATTACCGAGGGGGGTCGGTAATTAAGCTTTTTGCAGCCAGTTTTCGTGTCAAAAGAGTGTGTTTGAGGTAGCAATTGCTACCTCAAACGCGCTCTGTTGCCACGACAACAGGCTGCAAAAAGCTTAATTACCGACCCCCCTCGGTAATTAAGCTTTTGGTGCAGCAATTAAGGTTTTTGTGCGGCGGGGCCACTTGAAAAAGCTTAATTACCGACCCCCCTCGGTAATTAAGCTTTTTGTGCAGCAATTAAACTCAGGCTTTTGTGCAGCAGGCAGCGGGGCGGCTTGAACACAGCCCACGTTGAGGGCGAAGGCGGCGGAGGCCCACAAAACATGTGAGAGTTAGGGGCCGTGGGCTTTGTGGGTTGGTCAAAGCACACGCGAGTTATCTAATTAGGGCGCCGCTCCTTGTTCGTTCACTTCATTTCCTAAGCTCAAGAGTGGTGAAGGGTGAATAGGTGAAGGCGAAGAATCGGTGAAGAAGGCTTGAAAATTCGCCATGCAACCACAAGAAGGCGGCGAAGGGCTTGAGATTCGCCATCAAACCACGTGCAACATGCATGTTTGCAGCTGTTTTTTCTTGGGTACCGAAGTGGACAACCAAACGTCAGGCATAGAAACCAAAATCCAACGCAAACAGCACCGGGAAAGGCCCAGGAATTAATCAGCGCATGCCGGCCGCACCATCGAACCACTGAAAACACCACCGAACCACGTGAAACATGCAATTTTGCAGCTGTTTTTTAGCCACTGAGTAGGCTGGCAAACCGACAGGTATCGAAACCTAAAATTCACTGAAACGAACCCCTCGGGAAAGGCGCGGGTGCTTAGTAGCTGCACCCCCCTGAATTATGCAAGTCCACACACATGGCGCTCGCTTTAAGCCTCCTCTTGGAAGATGATACGAGAAATCTTACTCAGGCAGTTATGATGTCACTTGCAAGGCTGGACGCGCGTCATGGGTTACCAACAAGCCCTTTAGGACAGCAGACATATTGCTTCTTGATGACACACCCTGGGGGCCCAAGATAATTACCGAGACTGCAACTATGCTCGGCGGTCGTTTTCCATCAGACCCTGAGCACATCCTGACCGTCGGAAATGTCCAAAACTTTACGAGAACCTGTAACTGGATCAAGCACACACACATGAGGTTCGTCGCCTGTATTGCCTTCGATACTTACAACTTATCTCGTCAATGGACCGGCATCGAGATGAGAATGTATCTGTCATCATGAGAATAAGAAAATTCAGAACCATATTCAAAAGAGATCATGCACATACAGTGAAGCATACAGAATTCGGACATCTTCTTTTTGTCCAAGTGGGGTCAAACACGACTGTGGCTCTCGCACCTTGTGGCTGAGTTGGTCTCAGCACCTTACTGAAACGAGCCGAAGTCTGAGCACTCCCCCGGCCACTACTGCTCTCACAGGTTCGGCCTAAGTGAGTCGGCCTGAAACAGGACAAGGTGAGTCAAAGTCGCTCACGTCAAGAAGCCTGTGGTTGATGCTGAGAGCTTGACGCAGCACTGTCACTTGGTCGCTCAGGTTCATGTTCAGGGTCCACAAACTGCCACTGATGCAGACGCAGTGTTGCCTCCTCTCTCCGATGATCCTCTCGCTCTCCAAGAACGTCTTCCAAAACCTCAGCCACCTTCATCAGGGAATTCATGTTCAAGGTGCGTAGCCACTGACGGAACTCGTTAAGCTGAGCTTGTGTCAAAGTTCGCTCCATGTCGAGATCTCAGTTCAACTGACGAGAGGCAGAACCAGCTTGAGCAACAGAAAAGTCTCAGGTACTCCTAGACCGAAACGAGGTCTACTCGCAGCATGGGCCAGCAACGGTCTTGCATTCCTGTCGGGCATATATCTGCAGAGAACCTGTCATGCACAGAAAGGGGAGGGAGAGGTGGGCAAGCATGTTCCTTGTCCAGCTTTGCTCAGGCCGGAGTGTTGCCTGAAGAGTGGATCATCACAACTGTACACCTGAACAGAGCAACGCTGTGGTGACCCGCGTCTAAAGAACAGGGGGTGGGAGAGGCGGGTGAAAATTCTTTCTTCAGAGCTGCAGCTCAAGCCGAATGTTGCTTGAAATCAAAGATCAGGAAGCTGACATGAAAAGACAAGCAATATCTTCAAGAAAATGAGAACACATGCACTGTGCCAAATGCTACATGCTGCAAAGAGTCGAAGCACAAGAGATGCCTAAATGACATGAAAGGTCATTTTCCATTTTCAAGATAAAACGCTTGCTCGTACCTCGCTGGCACGCTTATCTCGTCAATGGACCGGCATCGAGATGAGAATGTATCTGTCATCATGAGAATAAGAAAATTCAGAACCATATTCGTGTTTCTGGAAAGT